GCGCCCGTGCTTCGAGAAGGTGGAGTCTCTCCCCCATTGGACGCACCAGTTGCAAACAGCCGCACTGCGGAGAGGTCCAGAGCCAGACCCCTCCTCTCCTCACCTTACCCCTCCGCCCATTGCCGAAACGCCGACGAATGAAACGCTGATGGAGACTCGAACCTGCCCTTAAGTCGGGCCTGTCCCCCTACAGGGGGACTTCCGACGAAAAATCAAAAATATCCCAAAAATGCCCCGAGAGGTCCAAAAAACATTCAATAAACAGTCCCCAGACTATATTTGGACTATGTTTTGATTATGTTGGGGGTATTTTTTATTTTTCCTCGAAAATCCCCCTGTAGGGGGACAGGCCCGACTTAAACCTGCCCCCTCTCCTCTCCCGCCCCGGTGCCGCGCGGGCCTCCGGAGCCTGCGCCCTCGCTCGGGGTGCCCGCGGCACGGGCGCGCCCGCGCGCTCCGCCCTTCCCCTTTTGTTGGGGAGGGCGGGGCCGCCGCGCGCGTGCGACGCCCTTAGGGAAGCGGACGCCTCTTGTCAAGGGAGGGGAAGCCACCTGGGTCAGACAAGTGGCCTTTCCTGAACGGCCCTGGGCGTTTACTGAACAGCCCTTGGGGAAGCGGACGCCTCTTGTCCAGGGAGGGAGAACCCCTTGGGCCGGACCAGTGGCGTTTATTGAAAGGCCTTGGTCGTTTTTTTTTTTCAGCCCTCCCTTTTTGTTGGGGCAGGCGGAGCCGCCGCGTGCGCGACGCCCTTGGGGAAGCGGACGCCTCTTGTCCAGGGAGGGAAAACTCGGGGCTGGACAGAACTCCTACCCTGACACGTCGATGCAGGAATTGGCCGTTTTCGGCTCGCGAGAGGGCGTCGCGGCCGTCATTTTTGCGGGTCCAGGTCCGTCGGTTTCGGTCCCAGGCCGTTTTCACTAAGGTCTACTTAAGGGAGGTTTGTCCACCGCCGAGCGGACGCCTCTTGTCAAGGGAGGGAAAACCACCTGGACCGGACCAGCGGCGTTTACTGAACGGCCTTGGTCGTTTTTTCACAGCCCTGCGCTGCTTGATTCCTTCTGTGGGCGCGTTTACTGGACGGCTTCGCGTGTCGGGGGGGTTATTTTCGGGGTGGATTTTGGTGCCCTCCATCTTGGTGGGTTGACATGGGTTCCGCGGTAGGACCCGAACAAAAACTTACAAATATGACGCCCCACTCGCCCCGCGGATGAAGGACACCCCGACAACTCGAGACGCTTCTAAAAAAATTCACTCAACATGTTAAGCCCCAAAATCAGCATTGAAAACCGAAAAGCGGCTCTCGGAAAGCGGATCCCCTTTGTCTAGACTTCTTGGTTGGGTCCGAGCAGATGGGGTCGGAGGAGCGCGCCGCATCGCCGATGCATCGGCGATGCGGCTCGATGTTGAGCCCGATGTTCTCCACGCCGGCGTCGCCGGTGCATCGCCGATGTTGTTGGTGCATCGCCGGTGAATGGCCGATGCATCGCCGATGCATCGGCGATGCGTCGCGATCTTCCGACCCCATCTACTCCGACCCCATCTGGGAGGCCTCTACCTTGGGAGGCAGGGGTCTGTCCGCAACCACCGCCTGGGGGAATCGACGTTCGGGGACCTCGGCCGCGCTACGCTACTCCCGATCGGCCCGGCGGCCGTGCCACTCCAGAACTCGCGTGCGACATGTTGGCCCGTGCCTCCGGCACCCAGGCGATCATGTGGTCGTGCGCTGCCTCCCCCTGGGGAAGCAGATCCCCCTTGGGAGACAGGGGCTTGTCCGCAACTCAACGAGCGCGTCCCACTACTCGCAAAGTGCCTACCCGCAAGCGTCCGAACACACACACACACAAACACACACACACACACGCACACACACGTGGCTGCCTCGATGTACTGGGTCGTAGATCCCCTGCTTCGGACCCTGGTGATTTGCAAGTAGTTACGTTGCGAGTAGTGCAACGCGCTTATCTAACAACCACCGCCTGGCGAATCGACCTTCGGGGACCTCGGCGGGCGCCAGATATGGCTATATTCATGCCCGGGCGGGGGACGAGCACATCCACATCCGCGGCCTGCCGAGGTCTCTCCGAAGGTAGACCCCCGGGCGGTGGTCATGGACAAATCCCCGCCTCGCGGAAGCATTTCGGCGGCGACCGAGGGGGGGACGTGAGAAGGAGAAGGCCTTCTCAGAAGGCGGTGGGACTTCTCAGAAGCCCTCCTGCCTTCTGACGCTTGTCTTGTGTCCTCCAGGAAGACTCAGAACACTTCTCAGAAGGCCAGGGGACTTCCGAGCCTTCTGAGAAGGCCAGCCACTTCTCACTTCCCCCCCGGGCTCGCCGCCGAGCATTCGTTTCTCGCATCGGGCAGCTTCGATTTTCAGGGACAACGACAGGAGGGGGGGAGGCGGATAGGCTCAGTGGGGGGGAAGCATCGGCCCCGAATCGGTCATGGATGGCCGACATGGGCCTGATCGCCCACCCGAGCCCAGGAGCACTTGGTTTTGCCATTTTGCGGGCCTGACGCCGATCTATCGGCTATGTGTCGCGATTCCAGCTCGATGCCTCCCCATCCCCATGCGCCGGTCCTTCCCTAGCGTCGGCGCTCAAGGCTCTCTGCAGAGGCCCCTCGGACGCCCCCAAGACCTTCAGCGCCCATCATAAAGGAGCCGCCAATTGAAAATGAAGCGTGGCGAGCAGCCTCGATGAGAGGCCGAGGGTCCTGGGTCCCGGCTGTTCTCGATTGGGTGCCGCCTTGGCAGCGGAGCACGCCCAGCGACCCTCGCTATATTCCTCCAAGAGGAGAGCGCGCGGGCCGTGCTACGCAGGCTACAGGCCCCGGACAGGGCGCCCGCAGCCAGGCTGGCAGCGGCCACGGCGGCTACCGCGGCCGACGCCGCCTGAACCGCAAGCCTGACGGCCGATCGACGACCACGACGACAATGGCCCCCGACAGCGACCACGACCACCCCCAACGCCTTGCCCTGGCGACCCCCCCCCCTGACACAGACCGCGACCAACACCCCCCCGCCCGACCGCAGCCACGACCACGACCGCCCCCGACGCCCTGTCCCGATAAGGACCACTGCCACCCCCCCCCCCTTGACTGCGACCGCGACCGCTTTTGACCGCGAGCAAGACCACCCCAATTGCCCTGCTGCTGCTACTGCCGGTGCTGCTGTTGCTGCTGCTGGTGGTGCTGCTGCCGCCCTCCACTTTTCCCGCTCGCTGCCCGCGTTCGCGTTGTCCTCCTCCTCCTCCTCCTCCTCCTCCTCCTCCTCCTCCTCCTCCTCCTCCTCCTCCTCCCCCTCCCCCTCCCCCTCCCCCTCCCCCTCCTCCTCCTCCTCCTCCTCCTCCTCCTCCTCCTCCTCCTCCTCATCCTCATCCTCATCCTCATCCTTGTCCTCGTCCTCATCCGCCTCCTCCTCCTCCCTTCCTCCCCCTCCCTGCCTCCCAAACCAGCTGCACTTTTGGTTTTTCATCTCGGCGGCGGAAAGTTCCCCTCCGTCCTTTTGAGCGCGCGATTCAGGGGCAATCGTTCGCAGGCGTGCTTGGGTCCAATGTACTTATACCGTGGAGCGCGGCTCCGGCCCGAATTCTGATTCCCAGCTGGGCGCGTTCGAGCAGTTAGGACGCGTCGCCTGAATGGCCCGCCCCTGACGTTGGCACGTGGATTTGTACGCGACCTTCGGGCCGCATCGGTGCTCGGCCGCGGGGAAAGGCACGTGACCGTCGACCAAGGCGAGGCGGAAGGCGGGCGCCCCGGGCGCACCAACGAGGGGGCGGGGACGAGCGGGGATCGGTGGCGCGTTGCTCCTTGAGGCCTGCACTTTGAGGAACATCGGGCGACGAGAAATGCGCACATACAACGGTCCTGGCCAGGCGCATCCTGGGCCCAGGATAGGTGCGTATGCCTCCCTGACCGCGCCAGGACGGCGGATGCACCGATTTTGTGCCCAGGATGGAGGGTGGCCCGGGCCAGGATTGGAGCGCATGCATACCTCTGTTGCCTTCAGAGAAGGAGTCCTCAGGGATAGGGGTCCAGGGGTCCAGGGGTCCAGGATAGGGCATGCTTCGCTCCAGTTTCACTGGAACGAAGGATGCCAGTACCGCTCCCCCTCCCTCGTCGCCACCGCTGGAGTTACCGAGGGAGCAGCGGCGTCGGTATTTTTCGGCTCCCTCGAAGGCATTCTCGGGTTTCGGGGCCGTCGGGATGTCGGGATGACGGAATGACCCTGGGGGAAGCCCTCGGCGTGGTCTGAGGTGTTTCCCCTCAGGGCGCCCCCCCCACCCCCACATTCCAACGTGTAGCCTCTGGGAGCCCAGTAAGTGTAGAACGAGCATCCTCTAGGAGTTTTCAAATTTTCCTGGCGACAAGCAAAGAGGGGCCTCCAACACATATCGTTCCCCTTCCCCTCGTATTGCGGTTATCAGGCAGGCCTAGAGCGTCCCAGGACGCTCTCAGAGCGTTCCGTAACGCTCTGAGAAGGCCGGAGGCGCCCGATACATTTCTCAGAACCGCCAGATCTTAGAAATCATCGGTGCCGCCACCTTGAAGAGGGACAACGATAAATGCCTGGTGCCGCCAACCCTGAAGGGGGGCTACGACGACGACGACGACGACGACGACGACGACGACGGCGGCGGCGGCGGCGGCGGCGACGACGGCGACGACGACCACGAAACACCAGATCTCAGAGGTCCCCGATTTATCCCGATCCGATTTTGTCCCGATCCTGCCTTTGTCGTGGGTTATGATGTTCCAACCAACTGTAGCCTTGACCACCAGAAACGAGCCCCCCAAAAGTACCGAAACTCGAGGGTGTTTACGTGTCCGGCCCTGGGAGACACTCGCCCGACATTATTTCGACACTGTTTCGAAACTCTTCCGGGTGCTCGAAATTATTTCTGGGATGTGGTCCTTAAGTACGATAAGGACAACGCGTGTCTTGAGCCAGAAGGCTGCCTGGCCCGCGTCGCGGGGTGGGTGCGTCGGCGCCCCCGCGCCAGGGCTCGCACGCGCACTTGGACCTCATAGGCGCCCGCCTCCCCTCCCTCACGCTGCGCTTTCCTCCCGGACGGCGAGGGGGGAGGGGGGAGGGAGCTTTGAGACGGGGGTCGGTGTGAACGGGGGTCGGCCAGAGCGCGGGAGCTTGCAGGATCCTGCAGGAGCAGGGTCGCATCGACCTGGGTTTGGGTGCCGGATCCTGCAGGATCTTGCATCCTTCGCATTGACCCGGGCTCGGGTGCAGGATCGTGCTGGATTTTGCAACGCCTGACTGATCCGGGTTTGGATTGACCGGGGTCAGGAGATCCCCGAGGGGGGCATCCTAAGGTGGGGAGAGGGATTATACCCAGCTGAATACTCACATGTCCTCCTCACACGGGCCGTTTTGAGCAATGTTCCTCGAACCCCACCTCTGCCCCTACCCCACCTTTGCGTCCCAAAGGGGGAGGGAGGTCGGGAATCTGGAGCCGACTTGGGGGCTGAGGTAGCCCAGCACTGCTTCTGGCCATCAGAAAGGGGGGGGGCAGCCCTCATCGCCACGGCCCTCGTCGCCACGGCCTGCACGCGGCTGGAAAAACAAGTAATTGATGCTTCACCCCGTGAGGGGGTCGGGGACCGATTGGATCGAATCTGCCCTCACCCTCTCTTGACGGATTCGATGGAGCGACGCCCAGCGCACACGACGCGCGGGGGGAGGCCGACAAGGGGGAAGAGTAAGAGTGAGAGTAAGAGTAAGAGTCCCAGGACCGTGTCCACTAGTGCCGGCGGGGGGGGGGCCAGCGCGCGGGAAGGAGAGAGACTCGAGTGCCCGGGGGGGGCATCCCCCCCAGCGCGCGGGAAGGAGAGAGACTCGAGTTGTGGAGGGGAGGTCTCCCTGTTCATCGCGCGGGGAGGAGAGAGATTCGAGTGCCAGGGGGGCGGGGGGCTTCCCCCCAGCCCTCCAGCGGGGCCCCCCCTGGGAGCCCTTCCCAGCCCCCCCACCCGTTGTCGCTGAGCAGTGGTTCGCTGGGTATCGCTCCTTCGCAGATCCTCTCCGGGCGTATCCAGTTCAGATCCCCAGGCCGCCTCCAATCGGAGATCCTGCACATCGCGTGGTGAGTCGATAGAAAATTCGGATGGCCGCACGGTTGCGGACTCGGATCGCTCTCCGAGGACGTCTCCTCGGGCGAATGGGGGGCGCTGGGCCGAATTCTGGAACTTATCGATCGAGGCTCGCATCGTGAAGGCCAGGACCTGATGGTGAGGGACCGCCTCCCATACAGCAGTAGCCCACATGAAAATGACATGCCCCGCGTAGATCACTAGGGGGTCCACCTTGGAGCCGAGCCCGTACGTGTACATTATGAGCCCAACCGAAGCGCCCTTGGGGAGCCTGTCGAGGGAGCTAGCTGCGCCAATTCGGAGACCAGCCATCTTCGAGGGAGACACTCCTGACACTGAAGAGCCCCAGAGGGCCGACGCCACGGGACCCATCCTGTGAACCATCCCGATGTCCGCCCCAGCGTTTTGAAGTATCTTCAACCTCTTGGCCCGAGACGACGCCGCAGAAGCCCTGGCATTCTGGATCCCGAGGGAGGAGGAGGAGGAAGAGGAGGAGGAGGAGGAGGAGGAGGAAGGCAGCGGAGGAGGAGGAGGAGAAGGAGCATCAAGGCAGTGGAGGAGGAGGAGGAGGAGGAGGATGAGAAAGAGGAGAAAAACCGTCCCCCTCCTCCCCGCCCCTCGCACCAGTGCCCCTCTCCAGGCCTCCCACATGGGGTCCGAGTAGATAGGGTCCGAGGCTCGCGCCGCATCGCCGCTGCATCGGCGAAACGGCTCGATGTATAGATCGGCTACGCGTAAAAGTGACCTCTCGCTGGAGTGACCTGGGTGCGGGCCCAATGGGGTCCCCCGATTGCTGAACGCGAAACGGTGGCAGCGGCTTGCGCGCCCAGCGTTGGCCACCCCGCGTCCCCCGTTCAGTCGCGCGCCAAAGGTCACTCTTGCCCAGGGTCACTCTTACTAAGCGTAGCCGAGTAGCGCCCAGTTCTCTCCACTTCGACGCCGTCGCTGCATCGCCGATGCATCGCCGATGCATTAGCGGCACACTGGCGAGATGCGGTGCCATCCTCCGACCCCGTCTCCTCGGACCCTCCTCGGGGGAGGCCTCCGCCCTCAGGACCCGCCTCCTTCGGGGCCATTGCCCCCCCGCCCCCGCCCCCCCCCCCCCGGGCCAGGCACGGGCGCGTTCGTGGCCGTGGCCGCGGCCACGCGGGGCCCAGACCTGCGGAGCGCACCCCCCCGCCCCGCGCGCGGCCCTTGCCCGCCTTCAAGCCTCCCTCTTCCCTGCTGTTCCCCCTGCCTTCCTTCCCTCCCTTACCCCTCTTGCCTCCCATACCCCTCCCTCCCTTGCCCCTCCCTCTCTTCTCGCCTTCTCCCGTCCCTTTCCTCCCTTGCCCCTCTTGCCTCCTCTCTCCCTTCTCGTCCTCCCTGCCTTCCCTCCCTTACCCCAGAGATCCTAGCGTTGCAATTTCTTCACACTTGGCAGTTTCGCCCGGTTTCGGGTCCCAGGACCCTCACAGAGCGATCCGGCCCGAAGAATGACCCACAGAGGTGGGGACCAGGGCTCCGGTCGTGATGTTCTGCAGTGTTGCACTTTTTGGTGCGACGTCAGATTTGAGGGCTCCCTTCCTTGCCCCCACAGCTGCCCCCCAGCCCCACCGTCCCAGTCGCGTGGTGGTTGCCTGACTGGGCCGTGGAAGGCCGGAGCCACTCCCCCCACGCGCTGCGCCTCGGGGCGGCGCGCTTCCCGAGGTGCTCCCCCCGGTGGCACTGCCAGTGAGGGCGCCCCCCCGGCGGGGGTGCGAACTGGGGCGAAGCAGAAACAGAGCAGGGGAACGTTTTCTTATGCATTGTTTTGCCGATCGGCGCGAGCCCTCGCACCCCCTCCACCCCGCAGAGGAGTGAGTAGATCTTGGCAGTTGTTGGCACCTGTCTCGAGCAGGTGGAGTTTTCCCCATAGTACGCACTGTTGCAAACAGTCGCACTGAGAAGAGGTCCGAAGCCAGACCCCCCTTCCCCTCCCCTTCCGCCCAATTGCGAAACGGGGGCGAGGAGCCTAGGCTCTTCCCAGCTACGTAAAAGTCCAGGCCGGAGTAGGTGGGATCGGAGTTTATAGCCGGGGGTGAACAGAAACCCCACCCTGACACGTCGATCAGTGAATTGTCCGTTTTCGGTTCTCGAGAGGGCGCCGCGGCCATCATTTTCCAGGCTTGCGCCCGCCAGGTTTGGGCCCGAGGTCGTTCTCACTAAACTTAAGTCGGCCCTGTCCCTCTACAGGGGGAGTTCTCAAAAGTATTTAAAAAAAATAGTGGGGACGATTCTCCGAGTATTTTCGACCACTTTCGGGTAATCATGTTTCTATTATTGATTCGTTTTACGCCCAATCCGCTTGTAGGGGGACACGCCCGACCTAACACTAAACCACGTTTTCCTAAAGGGGTTCTGTCCATCCCCGATGTAGCACTGCATCGCCGATGCGCGGGGGCAGAGGGGGGGGGGGGCCGTCGGCAATCCGAGCACAGAAGCGCTCGAGCCCGCCATGTGGTCGTGAACGGCAAGTTGAGCGCACGCTCGCCCGAATCGGTACGTTGAGCACGAGGCGTCCCCATTGTTTCCCAAAGGGCAAGTTGAGCAGGGGCATGCCTCGATGCTCAAGGGGAGGGAGGACGAGGAGCCACGGACCTCCTCTCGCTGTGGAAGCAGCCAGGCCAGATGGGGCCAGAGCACGTTGGGTCGGAGGGTGGCGCTGCATCGCCCGTGCATCGGCGATGACGCTCGATGCGCAGCCCGATGTCCTCATTGCTGACGGCGCCGATGCATCAGCGATACGGCGCGATCCTTTGGGCACGTCTGCTCGGACCTGATCTGGGAGGCCTCCAGGAGCCAAGGCACGACGTGAGGTTTTTGCGGTTGTTCGGTCTCTGCGGGCCCTCGCCGAGCACTGGGGCCGTCCAGATGCGGCTCGGGATGAGAGGCTGGTCCCGGGGAAAGGGTCTAAGCCTCTGGGGGTCCACGCTGTGATGAGATATCACGACGTCGGGGGTCTGGCGAGGTGCGGTGTGAGGAGGAGGAGGACGCGGCAGGGAGGAGAGAGGGCGAGAGGGAGCCAAGGGACAGAGCAGGGAAGAGCGGAAGAGAGTGAGGGAGTAGCAGGAGGATAATGGGGTAGAGCAGAGACCAGGGCTGACGAGACGGAGCAGCAGCATGAGGACGGAGGAGGGATCAGGAGAGGGGTGAAGAGCGAGGGAGGATGGCAGCAGGATGACGACAGGAAGGAGAAGGAGGAGTGCGGTCTGGGGTGGGCGAGGCTCCGAAAGAGGAGGGCAAGGATGCAATGCCGTTGCGACGGGCGCCGCTCGGGACGGCCCTGAAGAACACATGTGACCACGGAATGGCTGCACTCTCTGGCGAGGATCGGGGAAACGTAAGACTCGAGTGAGCCGGAACTCGGGTTGCGGACGTTTTTTGGCGAGCGCGTTCTGGATTTTGACGGTTCAGTTTCCCTGAGATGTTTGCAGCGGGAGGTCGCGTCAAATTTTAGATTGGGCCTCGTCATTTTTACGATGGCCCCGTCAGGCCAACCCGAGTCCCCCGTACCCGAGTCTTGTGTCTCCCCGATAAGATACCACTGCCCGTGCACCAGACGCTGAAATAACAAGGACCACTCCTCCTCCTCCTCCGATTCCTCCTCCTCCTTCTCCTCCTCCTCTTCCTCCTTCTCCTCCTCCATCTTGCTCTTCCTCCTCCTCCTCCTCCTCCTCCTCCTCCTCCTCCTCCTCTCCTTCCTTCTCCACCTCCTCCTCCTCCTCCTCCTCCTCCTCCTCCTCCTCCTCCTCCTCCCCCTCCCCCTCCTCCTCCTCCTCCTCCTCCTCCTCCTCCTCCTCAGGAGGGGCATCGGCTTCGTGGCGGCCCCCCGAGATCTGGGGGGGCCGAGGCTCGGCCGCGGCCAGGAGGCCCCCCCTCATCGTTGGGTCGGGCCTGTCCCTCTACAGGAGGAAGATTCCGAAATAGTAGAAAAATAGTCGGGGGACGATTTTTCGACTATGTTTGAATCTGTTCGGTGTGTTTTTGTGACTAGTTCCCCACATGCTTCTTGGGGTTCTGGTTTTCTTCCCTGTCGCGCCGCACCCGCGACACTCACACACCCACACCTCCCTCTCCGTCTCTCTCTCTCTCTCTCTCTCTCTCTCTCACACACACACACACACCTCACTCTTCCCCTCCTCCTCACAGCACGGCTCAGCTCAGCTCAGCTCAGCACGGCACAGCTGAGCACAGCTCAGCTCAGCACAACTCAGCACAGCACAGCACAGCACAGCACGGCACAGCACAGCACAGCTCACCGCACAGCAGCACAGCACAGCACAGCACAGCATAGCACACAGGGCATTCCTTCGACGCCACAGGGGGTGCGCTGGGGGTGGGGGCCCTATGCGTTGTAGGCTCCCAGGGCGTGGCAGGCGTGGCATTTCCTCGACGCCACAGGGGGTGCGCTGGGGGTGGGGGCCCTATGCGTTGTAGGCTCCCAGGGCGTGGCAGGCGTGGCATTTCCTCGACGCCACAGGGGGTGCGCTGGGGGTGGGGGCCCTATGCGTCGTAGGCTCCCAGGGCGTGGCAGGCGTGGCATTTCCTCGACGCCACAGGGGGTGCGCTGGGGGTGGGGGCCCTATGCGTTGTAGGCTCCCAGGGCGTGGCAGGCGTGGCATTTCCTCGACGCCACAGGGGGTGCGCTGGGGGTGGGGGCCCTATGCGTTGTAGGCTCCCAGGGCGTGGCAGGCGTGGCATTTCCTCGACGCCACAGGGGGTGCGCTGGGGGTGGGGGCCCTATGCGTTGTAGGCTCCCAGGGCGTGGCAGGCGTGGCATTTCCTCGACGCCACAGGGGGTGCGCTGGGGGTGGGGGCCCTATGCGTTGTAGGCTCCCAGGGCGTGGCAGGCGTGGCATTTCCTCGACGCCACAGGGGGTGCGCTGGGGGTGGGGGCCCTATGCGTTGCAGGCTCCCAGGGCGTGGCAGGCGTGGCATTTCCTCGACGCCACAGGGGGTGCGCTGGGGGTGGGGGCCCTATGCGTTGTAGGCTCCCAGGGCGTGGCAGGCGTGGCATTTCCTCGACGCCACAGGGGGTGCGCTGGGGGTGGGGGCCCTATCGTTGGCTAGGGGGTGCGCTTGGGGGCCCTATGCGCTGTAGGGGGCGTGGCAGGCGTGGCATTTCCTCGACGCCACAGGGGGTGCGCTGGGGGTGGGGCCCTATGCGTTGTAGGCTCCCAGGGCGTGGCAGGCGTGGCATTTCCTCGACGCCACAGGGGGTGCGCTGGGGGTGGGGGCCCTATGCGTTGTAGGTTCCCAGGGCGTGGCAGGCGTGGCATTTCCTCGACGCCACAGGGGGTGCGCTGGGGGTGGGGGCCCTATGCGTTGTAGGCTTCCAGGGCGTGGCAGGCGTGGCATTTCCTCTGCGCCACAGGGGGTGCGCTGGGAGGTGGGGGTCCTATGCGCTGTAGGCTCACAGGGCGTGGCAGGCGTGGCATTTCCTCGACGCCACAGGGGGTGCGCTGGAGGTGGGGGCCCTATGCGCTGTGGGCTCCCAGGGCGTGGGAGTCGTGGCATTTCCTCGACGCCACAGGGGGTGCGCTGGGAGTGTGCCCTACGCGTTTTAGGCTCCCAGGGCGTGGCAGGCGTGGCATTTCCTCGACGCCACAGAAGGTGCGCTGGGAGGTAGGAGGAGGAGGAGGAGGAGGAGGAGGAGGAGGAGGAGGAGGAGGAGGAGGAAGAGGAGGAGGAGGAGGAGGAGGAGGAGGAGGAGGAGGAGGAGGACGGGGAGTTGGGGCAGCAGCAGCGGCAGCAGCAGCAGCAGCAGCTGCAGCAGCAGACGCAGCAGCAGCAGCAGAAGCAGCAGCAGCAGAAGCAGCAGCAGGAGGAGGACACCGAGGAGGAGAAGGAGGAGCAGCAGCAGAAGCACCGATGGTACACATGAGAAATAAAATAGGTATGTGGGGTTCCTCGATAGCGTAATTTTGATTTGTCGTCCAAAAGCCACCTGTAGGGGGACATGCCCGACCTAACCTTCTCGTTCCTCCTGCGGCATTCCGTGTGGCAGCACGATGACGCGTACAATTGCGCCCAGTGCCCGAGAGCACAGAGCCCGGCCCGTGTACGGCTTACCGTAGCCGCGCGGGAAAAAGTGTCCAGGGGCCCAAAAGGGGCCCTAAAAGTGTGTCCAGCGGGTCCCGTCAGG